TGCAATAACAACATAAAAATTATTAAATTCTTGCAAACTAAGGAAACCAAACGAAGATTTCTATAATTTAAAAAAATAATGTGTGCGTGCGTGCGTGTGTGTATTTTGATACGAGTAATATTTAAAGATATATATGTATACTGAGAAAAATTTATAATTAACAATTAGTAAGATTCTGATTACATCAATCAAAATTGCGATCATGATAATTGGACATCTCGACTAGAATTATAGGTTTAACTATAAAATTCTAATTTGTCTATTTTCTATAAGAATTCCAATTAATGCAACCAGATTCTTTTTCTAATATATATATACACACTCATCGATTAGCTTTAATAGTCATCATTGAATGATGCTATTAAATTTGTTGAACGTTTGTATTAGAAATAATATTTTAATAAATAAGAAATTTATTAAATAAAAATCAAACGATACAACAAACATAATTATTAATACGTAGAGTTAGAAAAATAATGAAAATTGTGAAAAATTAATTGTACGTTCTCTAACAAAAATAAATAAATAAATTGTAAATTAATGAATAAATATTATATCTTAACAAAGAGAAATGTAATTATGTGCAACTTATTATCCTTATATTACTGAATCAAAAGTTATTAAGTTTATATGAAAGTTAATATGAAAAAAATTCATGATATATAAAAAATGTTAAATTATATACGACACAACACTATACATGTATCGCGTAATTTTTGTAGTATTTGTATAAAATAACAATGTTTTGTATTTTTTGCAGGATGAAAAGAACCAAATACTTACGACCAACGCGTGGTTGAAACTGGTGAGTGCAATCAAATCTTTTTGTTTTTTCCTTGTTTAATTATTTCGTATAAGAAGAAATTGTTTATGTAATTTATTTCAAATTTTAAGGCTCGAATATTTTTAAAATCCTTAAAAAAAGTTTTCATAAAAATTAGGCAACAAATATAGAATATAATGTTATTTATTTGCATGACATTTATTTTTTTGTAAAATTGTTTGTTTGAAATTCTTACTGAGTAAAAGCCTCTATGATAAAAGTTTGTATACTTGACAGAAGAGAAAAGTACTGTAATGGATGTTATCCATTACCAATGTTTACGGCTGGTGTGTTTGTACCTGTAACGATTGTTAGGTAAAATAAATATAAGAATTAATCTTAGTCGAAAACAAAGCAAGTTTCTAAGCTTTAGGAAAAGATACGTTTTCTCAATTAAGCAACTACATATACAATATGAATATATTGTTACGTAAACGATAAATAATAAGGTTATGTGCACAGATTCTTTTGTGCATCTTCTCGTAGCTTCATGTTACATTGGAGCAAATGACACATTGAAAATGCGTTTGCGGTAATTCTCTCGGCGAAATAGCCAGTTAACAGAAAATCAATAACTACACCGGTTACTTTTCCATCGCCTGCGGTCTTCCCATTTACGAGAATACGTTGTAATATCGCTGATAAAAAATACACTTGCCGTCGCAACATGCATGAGAGGGAAAGAATTTAAGTGGATATATCCGATTAGGCTCAATAATTATATTCTAAATGCAAATTCGCATAAAATATAAAAAAATTACGAAATTTTTAAGAAATATTTAATTGAGTGATTTTGTCAGATATTTGCGCAGAAATGTTTTATTTCATTTATGAGTCAAATTGGTGACTTGTAAGTCAAATTGGAAGAATTTTATTGAAATTTTTTGTCGTGTTCGTACCTGCAGTTGCATTTATCATTTTAAAGTTCTCAAATTAATGTTTTAAAGTTTAATTTTAATTCTAATATGTTAATATTAAAATAACGTATTTAATTTTTATACGGTTTTTTTATGCTTAATGTAAAATACAGAAAAATACGATAGTCAACGTTATTCATATTAATTACAAAAATGTGTAAGCGGAACAATCGTTATTAATATTTTAGGATTAAATTCATGACAGTTGGAGAATTGATTTCCGCGTGCTCGCATCACTTTTATGCATAAATAACTCGTATACGGCAGATCAATTTATAGATTCTTTCGCTATATTACCAATCGGATCGTATGAGTGAGCAATCAGTAGATCAGAAATTCGAGAATGCGGCTGCTATTGTCGTTTCGTCTTCTTATGCATCAACTGCTTCGTACGCGAGCATCCGCGCCAGACAATCGCTTCTTCTTTATCTTCCTAAAAAGGTGCGCCGTGTTCCCTTGGGTGCAAAAAAAAAGGCAAAGACACAGCATGAGAGTAAGAATGTAAGAACAGGCGGGTTAAAGGAAGGTACTGCAGAATAGATAAGGACGCGATAGAGATGAGTTCAAGAAAATCGAGAAAGCAGAAAGATGCTCTCTGAAATCGAGATCCCCTCACTATTTTTTTCTTCCTTCGCTTTGTTCTTTTTCCTATACTTGTTTTTCTCAATGATGAAATGGAATATCGAAATGTTGTATCTTGTCTTAATATCATCTGGTAATGGAATAAAATCAAAGGGGATTACGAATTGTTGGCACACGTTTATGATACACATCATTTGAGTTTTCAGAAAACTAGTTTGACGAACATCGCTGACACGCGATATCTATAAACGTAGTCTAGCTATCTCTTTCTTTGGCTGCAGCATTTGATCGCACTGATGCCTCAAACCGCCTGCCTGCAAAGTAAATTATCTTTTATGCAGCTGGCGGACGATGATTAATTATTTACTCTGTTTGCGTTCTACGCCGGTCGCAAGATAATCCGGCTCGACTTTTTCATCGCGAACTTTTCGCAGTTTCGTTCATGGTTCCTGAAAATTCCTGAAAAAGCCGGGTACACATAACTGGCTAATTAATTTTGGATTTCATGATATCAACGGGGCGTTCCAATGTCTCCTCGTTGCTATAATTTTTATCTTGTTCGTATATCACGTAATGTCGATATTATCTTCTGAGTTTATAGCCACTTTATTATCTTTAAGGAATTGATTTTTGATGAAGAGAAATGTCTCTTTTTCTGCCTCTTGTGTGCTTCCACCTTTCATCTTCTTTTTTTCACTTCGTTTTCAATTTCTTTTCTTTCTTCTTCTAATCGTAGATTTTGATTATATCTTTTTTATGACATTGTGCTTTTTGCTCCAATCTGCTGAACCAATCTGCTAGTAAAGAACAGTTGAAAAATCACAGATAGTTGTGAGGTTCTTCTCGGTAATATTAAGTTAAAAGAGAGAAAAGTGCTTAAAGGACGCTTCACTGTCAATCCATTAGCGCTGAAGTGTTAAATCCTAATTCTTTTAATTTTATAAATTTTTTATATATCTTTATATATGGAACAAATCCATTGATACTAATTCTAATTAAAATCTTAACTATTTTCATATTAGATATATATATATATACTATTTATACTATTTATTATATATATACTATTTATTATTTTCATATGCGATAATACTGGAGATGTATTCTGTAAAAAATAGACAGTACGAATTTCAAAATTGTTAAAGCTTAAATTGAAAAATTCATCCTTGTCTCATTATGTAAGACAGCAAGCTATTACTTATCACATAAACTGCCTTCAAGATAGTCAATCAAAACTTTCAAATTTACTAAGCAAAATGGAATTTTAAAGCAGTACTTGGTAGCAACCTCGTATATAGTTATAAGAGCACATATATTGTAACATATTTAATGGGTGTGTTACGTTTCATAATAGAAAATAAAAATACGTCTCATAATAGAAAAATATTATTAGAATCGCGAAAAAACTATTTTATTTTATTAAAAATAATTGGAAAAACTATTCGAATGAAAAATGCATACTATTCGTTCCAATTTTTTTTTCTAATTCAATAATATGTTTCCACAAGAGTTACTTCTCTGTTGCTGTTGATGAATGTGAATATATCTACATATAAAGCAATATTTTTTGTATATTAGAAAAATAACTGAAACACACACACACACACACACACACACACACACACACACACACACACACACACACATAATATATAATCTGTTTTGAATACCATCGTTTCCCTTGATAAGTCTATCTTAACTACATGTGTTGGCAAACCTACAAGGAAACATGATGTTGCAAATAGCACTTTTATAAAATTTGTTATTTATCAAGCTGGACTCTTTCAGTTTGTTGAATAATTTATTGACAGATAGCCGATACGCAGCTGCGCGGTTTCGAGGATAGGTTAATAATATAATACACTTTATTCGCAAATTCATATTGGAGTAGCGTATAGATCGAAATAATATTAATCAATGTTCCAAATCTACATTATGAACGAATATGTAGACCGTAATAGAGCAGAAATTTCTTTATATAATACTCATTTTAACAAGATTCTTATATTTTTATATTGGTTCTTATATTGGTTCTATTACATTAGCTATCTATTACACATAAACAAAAGAAATAAATTTAATTAATTCTAGAATGCTGTCGATACTATTGTTATTGATACATAAATTTTACGTAGAAGGAAATAGGCCTTAATTAATGTAACACAAGATTTTCGTACATTTTACATTTCTAACAAAACTTACTTATAATTTGGATTTTTATAAAGAGTTTTATATAAATAATGTAATTATTAATTTAAAAGGAAAGAAAAATAAGCATATTGTCAAATTTCATTTTTAAATATAGAGTATAGTGTTGTTTAGTGTTTTCTTATAACATTTTAATAAAATATATAACAACACAAAACAAAGTGTCTTATAAGATTGTGATATAACTACACAACGAATCAGAAATAAAGACGCTAAATTTTACGTCACGCTGGATTTTTAATGCTGAAATAATTACGTGCGAATTTATTCTTAAATTGATCTTAATATTCTAATGCTGATAAGTATCTAGCTTCATTGCGAAAAATATTACCTTGCTGAGGATCGAATCTGAATCTTTTGCATTTCATTTAAACGTTAGCTCCTAAGTCTTCTTAAGAGTTAAAACTTTAGATCACCAAAGCCTTAGTAATATTTTTCGTAATAACTCATATATATGTAAATACCTATTTAAAGGGAAAATACGCTTTTTGAGGAATTGGATATGTAATACATAAATTCACACAGAATTATTTCAGCACTAAAGATCTAGCTTGACCATTTAGGGTCTTTATTTAGATATTTAGATTCGTTGTAATAACACAAAACTGATTAATAATTGAAATTACTCTTATTATTTTCTGTTACAATACTATATACTAATTTGGACCACTAGGTAATCCAAACTGGTATATAACGGACTGAAGATTTAGAAACTTGTCCTAGCTTTTAGCATCGCAAATTAGACTTCTTGATTATCATTAAAGCCATAGTTAGCGCTCAATGTAATCTCACTCACTTGTATGTAAAATTTATGTACAATAGCATTCCACGGCATTAACGAGTCATTTCATATGCCATCTTAAGAATGATGATCTTTTATGCAGCCAAATTTTTTGCATCAAAGTAAAATCAATTTCAATCATTTTCAGACATGCAATAATATCATCTTAACACTTTAATAGAAACATTTTGTCATTTTTCTTACAATCTACAAATTGTAAACAAAGTTACAATTATTGCTTGTTTAAAATTGTAACTGATTTTTAATATTAAATTTTGTAATTTAGATAAAATTGACTAAAAATTAGATTTACACGATTTACTTAAAAAAATTCTGAAACTAATTTTTCCGTGAATGTGCAGGTAACATCATTTTTCCGATAACTTTTTAGTATCAATATTTGACTACTTGTATGATTTTTTTCACGGCGTTGCCAACAGTATGTTTCGAGATGGCTATGTGGATTTTGTTAAATTTTTTTCTCTTGTAAAAGT